GAAAACCCCCCAACGCCCACGCCCTCCACACTAGGCACAGGAAAGTGGCCGTCTAGGGCAGGATAGCTGCCAGCCTGGCCACTCAGGAGCAGATTTGCATGAAAATCAAGGTGGTCCTGTGAGATCCCCGACCCTGAGCTCTGAGCTTAGAATGGCCGTACTGGGTCAGACCAAAGGTCCATCTAGCCCAGTAGCCTATCTGCCGACAGCGGCCAACACTAGGGACCCTGGAGGGGATGGCATTTCCAGCCTTCCACAAACAGAGGGCAGGACACCATTTCTACTCCCTGGCTAATACCACTCCATGGATCCAACCTCCATGACTTTATCTAACTTCTCTTTAAACTCTGTTCTAGTTCTAACCTTCACAGCCTCCTGCAGCAAGGAGTTCCACAGGTTGACTATTTGCTTTGTGAAGAAGAACTTTCTGTTATTAGTTTGAAGCCTGCTACCCAGTCATTTCATTTGGTGGACTCTAGTCCTTCTATTATGGGAATTAATGAAGAACTTTTCTTTATGCACCCTCTCCACACCACTCGTGCTTTTATAGACCTCTATCCTATCCCCCCTCAGTCTCCTCTTTTCTAAGCTGAAAAGTCCGTCTCTTTAGCCTCTCTTCATATGAGACCTGTTCCAAACCCCTGATCATTTTAGTTGCCCTCCCTCTCCCACCCTCTCTCTTCCCCTCTCCCACCTCCTTTTCCCAGTCTCCCCCAGTTTTGTTCAATAAAGAGAGTTTCTATTTTTGAACACACCTGTCCTTTATTTTGTACATCAGGAAGGGGGGCTAGGGAGGGGTAAGTGGAAGGAGGTGAGGGAGGAATAGGGTACGAGCCCCCGATGGGGAGGACTGGGGTGGCTCTGCGGGCTCCTCGGGGTGGAAGCTCTCCTGCAGCCCCCCGATTGCTTCCTCCCCCCAGATGGCAGCCTGCGGCAAGTGCAGCCGGGCTGATGGCCTAGTGCTGTGATGTGCTGAGTGTGACTAGTTTTTAGGTCTAGATGCACTAGTTCGAATTAGCTTAGTTCAAATTAACTAATTCGAATTGTTAGTTCGAATTAGTGCTGTAGTATAAACATACCCCAGGTATGGCTAACCTGAGCCTGAAAAGGAGACACAGTTTAGCGATGTACGATGCCAAAGGGCTACAGTAATTCATCAGCAGTCCCCATCAGGTGCCTCCTCTCCAGTATCTTTTGTCCACCAGCAATCCCACCGATCAGTGCCGCCTCTTCCTTCCCCGTGCCTCCTGCCCATTACAATCAGCTGTTTCATGGCACTCAGGAGGCTCTGTGGGGGAGGGAAGGAGCAAGGATGCAATATGCTTGGAGGAGGAGGTGGAGCCGGGAATTGAGCACTGGAAAGTTGGTGCCAATAGCTGCAGCCCTGGAGTCAGTGCCTGAGCAAGGAGCTGCATATTAACTTCAGAAGAGCCACAGGTGGCTCCAAATGCTTATCGGATAGTTGATAGGCTTGTTAATGAGTCGCTTCCCTCCCTCCCCCACTTTGCTGTCTCTAACTGAAAGAGGCAGGAAGGGGGTACTTCAAATTAGCAGCAATGCCACATGGAGTCTGGGGCCAGGTGGGGTGTTCCCAGGCAGCACATAGTGTTTCAAAGCAGCTCCGTGGAGCTTGGGATCAGCTGGGGACTCTCCTGCTAACCCCGGGCTCCATGCGGCGCTGCGGTGAGGAGCCTGACACCAGACTTCTTGCAGCATTTCAAAGCAGCAGCGCCACACAGAGCCTGGGATCAGCTAGGGAGTTGCCAGCTGATCCCGGGCTCCATTCGGTGCTTTCGCCTTTAAAGTGTAGCAACAGTCCAAGGGCTGTTGCCAAACTTTAAAGGTGGACGTGCCCTATCAACCAATCGAATAGTTGATGTAAAATGCATTGAATATTCAACTACTCAGTTACTTGAAAATCCCTACCCTGCAAAGCCTAGACACACAAATGCAGTTAGCAAACCTTCCCTATCCCAGATACTGTCTTGATTATGACAATGTTGCGGCCCATTGAGATGCAGTAGGGCTGTTCATGCAGGACACCCAATAGCCTGGGTATTCTGTTGCCTGGCTTACAGCACTGTAAACTTACTAGTGTAGTCATAGCCTTAAAGAGGGGTGGTTGTGAAAAATACATCCTTTAGGACATTATGCTGCTGCTAGGGCAAATAGATGTTTTGTTATAATCGTTCACGTAACCTTGTTTGTGAGTTTTTTAGACAGTAATGAAAGTTTTCCTGAAAAAACATTTTATTTATCTGTGAAACTTTAGAATCAAGGACATAAAATGTTTTTCTTTATAGAATTGTAAAGGCATTGCTGTAGAGTGCAGTGACTTTTATTTTAGGCAATAAATGCTGTTTTGGGGATAATCTAATAATTGTGTAAGTAGCTCCACAAATTCAATAGTAAATATATATTTGTATGGGAGAGACAGGGTAGATCAGGGCAATACCTTTTAGTGGACCCGGTTTCTGTTTGTGGAGGGGTCAATCTTTTGATCTTCACAGAGCTCTTCTTCAGGGCTAGGTTCAGAAGTCTTAGTGTCTCAGTTAAATACAAGTTGGAACAGATTAAAGATAACTGGTCATGCATGTTGTAGGCAGCCATTTGATATGGAGAGAGCAATTAAGGGTTAGATTGTGTCCAATAAAAGATAGTACCTTGTTTCATATCCTGGGATCACATGGCTACAACAATGCTGCAAACTTATATTTGTATTACTGTAGCATCTACAGGGTTGGGGCCCCTTGTGCTTGGTGCTTTACACATAAGAGCCTGTGTCTACCCTGAAGAGTTTATCATCTAAAAAGTGACAAACCAGGAAAAGGAAACAAAGACTCAGTATAGGTGAAGTGCTTTATCCAAAATTAGACCGAGTCTGAGATAGGACTGATTTGCAACCTAGACCTCTATCCACTAAAGCAGGGTTTCCATTCTGTGGTAC